AATGAAATATGTATAAAAAATTAATTTGAAACTTATTGATATTTTGTATCAGACAGAGTTCAGTAAGATTGAGTATATATTTATGATATTTATATTACCTTTTTATAACTTATAATTAATAAATTGCAGTTTGTAATATAAAAAATGTTATATAAATTTAATATCATATAGTTTAATTTTTATCAACAAATTTGAGAATTAGCAATATTATTTTTTATACTTTAATTTTAATTTTCCTCTACTATTATTTGTGAAAAAATAATACTATGTTTTATTTTAACAATAAAACCAATATGGTATGACTTCAGATTAAAAACGTTCCAAAATGTTCTTATAATATATGTGGTGCAATATAAATACATACGAGAGATAACTTATTTGGATCCTCATTAAATATTTTAATAGTTATTATACAATTTTACATTTTAAAAAATAAAATTATAATTATTATTCTATAATTACAGTATTTCGAATAATTATAAGTTTAAATATTTGTAATACTTGAAACAATACTATGATTATTAATCATTTGTGTTAGTATTCATAATCGTTTAGTTAATTGTTTCATTGATTTCTGTGGGATTTAATATTTTATACTCATTAAAATAATTACTGATAATTAATAACTGATTATTTGATTAGAGTAAAAATATACTTAAACGTATAGAATTTAAATTTAAATATTGAATGCACAGTAAGAACTTTTAATTGTAATTTAATAATCTATTCAAAAATTAAAAAAGAGTTATTTGCCTATAAATCTTTTTAATTTATTTTTAATTTAATTTGGTTAATACTTAAAACAAAACAGGCTTATTTTTAATTGTTCAATAATAAAAATTAAGTTAGGAAAAAAAATTCTACAATTTTACAAAAAAAAAAATCTAATTCTAAGACCTACAATATTTTAATCACATTATTATTTAATTTAAATTTAGAAAATATCAATTTTATACTTCATTATAAAGAGGATTGCTTTCAGAAAAAAAAAGTAATCCAACATCATATCTATTATTATACTGTATTATATTTTTCATACAGAAAATTACTAATTTACCTTTTGCTCTTCACATTTTGAAAATTTGATAAACGTTGAATCTAATTATTTAATAGCGTTAAAAAAGTATCTTATATGGAAAACGATGCGATAGAAAGAAAGTTTGAATGTAATTTTAATATTGATAGTATTTAAAAAAGAATATTTAATTGCAGTGCGAAAAATAAAGTTTCATTTATAGAGTATGATTATGATACATTTATTTATTTACCGGGTAGTTGTATGTCTTGTACAAAACAATATCCATATTTATTTTTACTTGTTAGACTGCAATCACATTTATTTATTCATTTAATCTGTATGCGTTCAAATAGAACTACAGTTTACACTGCTATTGTTATATAATAATCATTCCTTAACCTTAATCTTTTGAAAAATACAAGATATACTTAAGAATCATTCTTCTCTACTGAAAATTAATGAAAAAGTAAAAACGAGGTCTTGATCAGTGATCGTACACTTACACACATTATTTATATATATACACATAATATAATATCCTATAACATTTACCTACATATTATATATATCATATTAACGTTATATTACTAACATTATTCAAATATTCTAGTACATTTATATCGTTTCATTATTTAAATATTATCAGAAAATAAAATCGAATTTTTTGAAATTATATTTAATAATGAAGTTATATTTTCTGTTTTTGAGTATTTACTTTTTTTTCTCATTGACCTATTTTGATTAATAAATATCAATTAAAAATACTGCTAAAGGAAATATTTGTTAAGCATACGAACATGCACAATAATTTAAAGTTTAGCCAAAGTGAATAGCTCTTTGTTGTAATTGAAGGAGTAGAATATTATTTAAGAGAAAAGAATGTCGTCGGTTATAACGTTTTGTAGAAAAACATAAATATTAGTTATAAAATTAGTGTTACAATATATTTATTACAATCAATTTTCTGTTTTAAGATCATAACTAGGGCAGAGGAGTTCTAGCTCTAAGAATTCACCAAATATGCATTTAAATATACAAAATATGCTTTTAAAATATACATTTTAAAATGAATAATTTTGAACAAAAAATAAAAATTTTTCTGTACATACTTATTATTATAATGAATACATTTTATTTCAAATTGTATTTAACAACTTACAAGTTACAATTAATTATTTGAGTTTTCTTATTTAAATATTTATTTAAGGCATTTTTTATTATAAATAGTAAATAGAACGCGTTTGGACGTATGGTTGGCGGTCAATTGTTGATAAACACAGTGATTACTAAAACATGTATATTTCCGATGCCGGCGACAGGCGTCCGCGTGGCCCGTATCAATATTTTGTGCGTTGAACAATATTATCTCATCTATCTATAAATAAAATGAATAACCCGACCATCAACCTAATCGATAATTTTCGAGACGTTTTTTTAGGAAAAATAGGTTAAAATACGTCTGGGAAAAATCAACAACTATATTAATATTATGATTATCATTTAAAATAATTTTAAATTCAACGCTATTTTGGTTGTATGAATAAATAAATAAAAATGTCGACGAAAAACTATTGATAAAATGATAAATTTTTGATAATATGCAAAATATGCATTTACAGGTATTTTGTATATGCACAATAACATTTCAAAACTAGCTTTGTGGAAGCATAAAACGTATTTGTTTCGCGTTCCACTATTTTTGTGATTGTGCAACAAAAAAAAAAAAATATTCAAACGCTATAAGTCCTCTGCCCTAATCATTACTTTAATTTTTACCTATTTCTTTAATTTTGAGTTATTCGAGCGACGATTTATACTTAGTAAATACATTTTTATTGTTATTATTATTAATGCATTAAAGTAGTTTAACATTTTTAAAAATGTATAATTTTAAAGTTGTTTTTCCTCAAAGCTAAAAATTCCAAAATTGTATAAATAAGTAATATGGAAAATACATGAATATAAATGCTGTAGTGATCATAACGTTAATCTCGAAGTCGGAAATGTTTTAGTGTATACATTCAATAGTCTCGTGTATGCATATATAACTGTATATGCGTATAAATTGTGTAATACATATTATGTATTGTAGGTACATATTATGCACGGAAACGTACGTTCACTGCAACGTGGGAGGGCGATCGATGACAAAAATGAAACATTATTGGGAGGGCTCACGGTTTTAAAACCTCAAAAGAATGTTAATGCTCCGAAATGTTTATGGTCCGGTGCAATATTTTTATTTCTACCGCGGTGTCCATAAAAAAAAAAAGAAAAAAACACAGCGGTGTAAGCTAGTGGTAGAGGAGATAGTGTGAAAGAGAGACGGATAGAACGTAATAATATAATGACTGTTTTATTTCGAACGCGCGGAAAAGACATTAACGTCTTGTCCGTCGCCACCGCCGACGGTTAACCCCTTCCGAGCGGCTCCGGTCCATCGCGCAGTCAATTTAACGCAATGAAAACGATGACCGTCTTGTAATAATAATAATAATAATAATAATAATAATAATAATAATAATAATAATAATAATAATAATAATAATAGCAGTAATAATGATGACACTAGTCCGTCGTACACACATATATATATACTGTACAGATCTCATCAGCAACATCCTCGATGGGTGTTGTTTCTGCCGCCGTCGCTATCGATAGTTTATGTCCTTGTGGCGTGCGCCACCGACGACGACGATTAACGTAATTCGCTAGTCTTCGTAGTAGTCGTAAAATACGATCAATTTAATAGTTTACACACTCACACACACATACTCGCCATACATATAAACGTAAATTTCGCATTTTTTTTTTTTTCGAACCTGTAAATGCGTGCGACTAATTTGTGTTGGCGGTGTTTTTTATCGGTCATTTTCCATGACAAAATAACATTACTATATTTGTGATTAAGCCTTTATAGTTTTGATTTTGTATACATTATGGTGGTTTCTTAATGATTTCTAATTTTTTTTTTTTTTTAATTTTTATCTTCGAGTGATCTATCTTTGTTGGATGCGCCGGATTGTATTAATACAACATAAATAATACGCGTTTCTCAAATTTAAAATATAATTTTACTACTGTACTTTTAGTAAAGGTAACAGGATAGCTCACGTAGGAATGATAGTTTTTACTTTAAATAGGTAAATGTAAATACATTTTATATGTATTTACGAGTTGTTAAAAAGAGGATTCGTTCCATGTGCCTATACAATTATGAATTGATGTTCTTTTAAAGTAGACATTTTATTCTTTATTTTCAAAATTAAAATTCAAATGATCATGTCAAATTTACAATTACTATTATCAGCTGTGAGCTTTTATGATATATATGTTATCAAAGTACATTTTTGCATTAAAATTTTTCATAAAAACGTGTACAGATTATTCAATAATTTATACTTATTTTTAATTGCTTATCAATTATATTACAAAGTATAAAATATTTTACATAAATTAAAAATTATAATGTAGCATGAAACAACATATACCATAATTACATATACCATATACCATCTTTCAAATTCAGACATCAATACGATTTTCAGTGCGTATTACAAGGATATTTTGATTTGGTTGATCGATATTTCATTTTTGTTTGAATTCTTAATCACCCCAAGGTTTTCGTGTATTTGATTTCTTTCTTTCGAATTCTGTCGATAGAACGTTTATTTTTCACGGTTCACTAATCATTTTTAAATTACAAAGCGCAGGGCGGTATGTACTCAGTTGGCTACCCATATAAACGAGCGAGTAAATCTAAAAAAAAAACTTTATATATATAATGTTATTGGTTCACCAGACTTACTTCTTCAAAATCCTTGAATTGCCGGTTAAAGACCCGACGATTTATGGTTCAATAGACCCAAGTGTTTCTAGTGACGGGTTGTCAAAAAATTACGATTTAAATTCCGTACACAATAAGATTTTTGATAATCGTTGAATACTAACATCGACTGTAACTTGTATGATAACTTTCTAGGCACGCCAACAGCACGATGTGGCCTCACATACGGAAAACAGAGAGCGTTGCAGAGCTTAAGATGAAATTCACCGGTAATCAAAATGTCAAAAACGGCATTGGGGTTTCGGCCAAAGCAACTAGGACGCCGCAGATGAGCACAGCTATGAGAAAGGAGATGGTTACCAAAAACAGGACAAAACAGAATATTTTAGCTGTAAACACAAAAAAAGTAAGTATCTATTTGTTATAATTTAAATAATTTAAAAACAACCGTCTCTAAAATAATGTGTGTATATTTATTGGTACACATTTAAAGATTTGTAGACTATTTTAAATACTTACATATCAAGTTATAGGTATTAATTTTATCAATGATAACGAATATTTTTTTAAACCATCTAAAGTAATAGTATTCAAAATAATGTATTAAGAAAAATATCAAAAAAAAATTTAGTAGAAATTATTATATGAAATTATAATTAATATTAAAAAATCATTAAAAATAGAATAAGTTAAAAATTTGTAAAAAATATAATTTTGTAAATGGTATTGAATAACTTTTCCGTTCAGTTTCAATTAGAAATTTATAGAAACTGAATTAATCTAAAATTGATCGTGTCGTTGTAGGAACAGTCGCAGTTCAAAATCATGTTAAAGAGATTATATAAAATATTATTTTATTGCTTTTTTCTGGTGATTTAAATGACTTGTCTTTATATTTATTATGACCTATAATTATAAAAGTCGCTGTAGCATTTGTTCTGAATTTATTTTTTAATGGGAATTGATGATTTATTAAATAAATCTAATTTGGAAGTAAATATTGAACGATAAACATAACAGTATTTTAAAGTTTGTTACTATAATGTCTATAACCTTTTTTTTATACATTGTTCCAATTCAAACGCAGTTTTCCATACAAAATATCGGTTACCTATTGGTATGCTCGTTATAGAACAAAGATAATCGGGGGCGTAATGTATTATTATCAGTTTTATTGATATTATAAATATTTTATAATATTTGATCACGAAAAACAAGAGGCGCACTGACCGCCATCGACCGGTTGTAACATAGTGACCGGTTCTATCTGGTTTTAATGGTACATACACATACAGATCCAAGAAAAGATACGCCGTATACAAACATATACATATAAGCGCATGCATGTTATTCCATTTACTTCCGGTTCGAATTCCCAATTAGTAAGTAGAAGAAAAAAAAATAAGAATCCTGAACGTTAAATGTATTTCAGTGAGATATAATATTATTATAGCCCAATATAGCATAATTTCACATCCAAAAAGCTTATAGATATTTAAAATAATAAAATTTAAAAATTAATATAGCCATCACGTTTAGATCTTATGGTATCATCTATGTATCGTCGTCAAATAATGCCTATTGACCATTGTTCATAAAATTGCTTTTTACTAACTCCTACCTAAGCGATGATAAATCATTATATTTATTTTACTGGCAAAGCTACAATAGTAATGCTGATATATATACACCAGATTGCATTGTAGTAAAAATGTAATGCACCAAAAAACTGAAAATATAGTTTAATATCATAATAATTTAGGTACACTAATTTGAATTGATGGTAGTAAACGGTGTGACAATCAAACATAAAACAATTTAAATATTGCAATTATAAAATTTAAATGAAAAAGTAATGTATGTGTAGGATTAATTTTGAAATATTTGGTTCTGCTTGTTTTATTAATAATTAAAACATCTAAAATACTGATGATATTAAATTGAACTATCAATTTCGTTTTTTTAGCGAAAGAAAGCTAAAAAATTTTCAAATTTAGAAAATATTATCGAATATTGTATATGAACAAGTCAAATTTTAAAATTTCTTTAAAATTGAGATTTTAGTGTTTTCGCTTATTACAGTGGTTCCCAAACTTTTTTGGTTCATCCCTAAAACAAAAAAAAAAATTAATTTATCTCCCGTGAATAAATTAAAAACAACATTTTTTTTTATTTTTTAATAAAAGTAAATTGATGTCGATTTAAAAATAAATATATGATAGTGTAATATACAATATAAATATTTGTCTTGCGCCTCCCTAGGGAGGCGCGTCTCAAAGTTTGGGAATTATTTTCTCTTGAGTGACAAAATATTTAATTAAAGTTTGATGACTGTTTAATTAGATTTCTAACATAAGTTACTAATTTAATTTCATACATAAATATACTTAAAAAAGTATCTTAATTCAATTTATACTTGTATAGGTACTTGTTACTTATAAAAACAATATTATATAGGTATTTGAGTGCATTTTCAAATGGTTGAATTTACAGATAATGTTCATTAAAAAAATAATTTTACATTTACCAATGCATGAAGTTTAAAATAACAAATATATACAACTCATAATTTTTTAAAAATCATAAACTTAAAAACTAAACCGAAATTTTCCCAAAAATTAAGAAAAATTATTGTAGAAATTAGAAATTATTTTAACTGGTTGTAAACATAAATATTATTAATAACACATTTATCATATTTTTAGTTATTATCATGTAACAAAACTAATATATTTATTTCTGGTATAAATAGAAATTGAAAAATACTCATGTTTTTAGGAAAAAAATATTTAATCAACCATTAGTTAACATTTGAATATATATGAAATCCCCAAAAAAGTACAAATATAATTATATTCAATGATTTTATAATATTATCTAGGAAATCTAATAGTACCTAACTGCATTTATCATGTTAATTTTCATTTCATATTACTGAATATCTTACAAACATTGACCTCTAGTGATTCGGTTTTTTTATAATACATGGTTGATTGATATCGGTCGTGACATCTTTATTCGTCATAGCCATGAACTACAGTCAATACGACGACAGGGTTATCATTTTTTCAATTGGTTATCTTAAATCAAACGTTATTTATAATCTTCATATCGTTTTTGTCAATTTTTATTTTTAACATATTTTCTATTTTAACTTAGTATATTTTTTGAGTCATAAAAAAATACAACAATTTTATTATTAAATAATATGACATTTAACTTGACATAAATATTATAAATATTAATTTATTATGTTGTAGGTACTAACCTAACCTTTTACAATTTTATAATAAATAAGTTTTACACATTTTTATTTGTTACTTTTATTTTTCATAGTAAATACCAAAATTAATAATATAGAAAATATCAAAATATTTATGTTTGTGTAAATTTTATTTTGCTCTATGGACCACTAAAATGTTCAGGATTGTGATTCTATACTAATTGTTTTTTTTAAATTATTTATATTTTATTCAGCCAGTTCTCTACTTTCATCAAATCATTCATGATTCATAGATTATCATCATTACTTAGTGATTTGTAGCGTTTAGTTCTTTAAGTTAATTATCTTTCTATTAAATTTAATTAGTTTACATTTATTGATTGTGTTGAGTTAAATTAATAAAGTAAGTAGCTTTTAAAGACATTTTATATAACTAGAAATAAATGAAATTGATCATATTATGAATATACCTAGGTATTTGTATTATACATAAATATTTATATATTTATATATACATATATATTTAAAATAGTATAAAACTAATTTCATAATTTTCATATAACAATAATATGTATATAATCGTATATATACATTGCAAACAGCGTTCTCTTTTTAAACAATGTAGTCTCTGAGTTCATAAAAACGGTCTCTACGATATTATGTAGTCTCGTATTATGGGGATATATGGATTTAGCTATATATCGCATCAATAAGACCTCCTTCGGCGATTAATAATCTTTAACTGTCATCTGTATCAGTGTTGAATCTTCTGAAAATTGCCGCTCTTACTATATGTAAATTATAACCATTAATCCATCTATATATTAAATCGTGTGAACCATACGAACTCAGCCGTCAACTGGTCTATACAAATGAGATTCAGGGGTATTATAACGACGTGTAATATCAATATTCGCTGTATGATATAGTTTCTATTACCGGTATTTACTCTTTTACCGATAGTATAGTATTAGATAAACGTAACTTATTTCCATTGATCTTATATTGTATATGTTAATGTTTACGATTCGTTACTTCCAACAGAATGGAAAAAAAAACATTCAAACCAAATGAGTCAAGTATATAGTGAAAATATATAAATAAATAATTTTAATTAAAACGAATAAATAAATGAGTAAACTATGAATAATATAGTTGTAAAAATGTATATTTGCATCGGTAGCACAGGCACTAAAAATACATTATGATATTTGAGTAAAAAATATTCGAATAGTCCACTTATCACTAAAATAATCGTTTATCACATACTACGAGTACAGAGTACTTCTTATTTATGAATACATAGTTTAGGTTTTCTAATTATTATTATTCGTCGGAATGTATTGTGAATTAACTGTGGAAAACGTAAGTAATTAACGGAGCGTGCCAAGACAACGGTATCTATAATACACACGAAATTTGTTAAGCCATCCGGACCGCGATACCCAGAATAGGTATAAGTTTTGGTTATTGTATACTTGCACAAAATTAATTACCGTTATGCGTACACATAACATTATAATGTTATTATTCAATAATTCACGATTCGTGTTATGCATTTAAACGGTGTCCAGAACAACAATACATGCATAACAGTGCCTCTAATATACGCTCGATTGTAATTAATGTATGGTATTATAGGTTGATTATATATTTATTATACATGAAGTATAGTTAGTTAGTACCATTTTATACATTTCCTAGGGTTCTGGGGTTACCTATAATACGTATGCTTTGTGATACGAAGAGTCTTGATTTGCATGGGAAATGACCTAAGCGTCTGTTTCCTCTAGATCTATCCCGAAAATCGTACGTAGTAATATACCATAAATAATGGAATTCACGCGGTTATAGCTATATTTAAGACGCGAATGACGTTGGTGGTCCACTGCAGCCATGTATGAGACTGTTCTGATTATAGCCTACGGTATACGAAACAATAATTAACCATTGATATACACACTTTTTTGATTCAACCGTTGGTTGCCCACAATTGTTTTCTCAAAAAAAAAAAAAAATTATTATTTTCTATTAAGCCTAACAAAAACGTGAGATTTTTCGATGTACCTACATACATTTAAAAATTGTACCTAACGTTTTTTATTTTTTTCTTCTTTTATTGAAATCTAAATAATTTTCATCATTTTAATACACCTAGTAATAATATAATAATTAAGTGTAAT